CATTATATTGGAAAGTAGCATGACCATGATTGCGAACGAGATCACCGCATTTTGGGCCCGTAAGTTACCCGTGAGAAATAATATCAAATATAAGGCAAACGAGATGAGGGACCACGGATTACAAATACGGTTAATCAGCTAGACAATAAATAAAAGTCGTTGCTCATGTGTCGCAGACAAGTGCGCTTGACAGCATGTCGCATCCTCGACATCAGTCCATACGCAGATAGCAATGTCACAAGATTGGCCCAAGCCAATCAAGGCGTGCCTCTTTGTGTGCTGCCGCAAGCTTCAGATCTCCGATCATGGGCTCAGGCACTCATGTGGTGATGTGTCTGGTCTGCGCATGGCTGCAGAAGCAAGACTTGAATCCTCATCAGGTGCTTCAAAGGCACTGGAGACTGCTCTGCAGGAAGCCTCTCCGGACGAGGTCAAGACGGCCTTGCAGGCAGCTTGTGATGCTTTGATCTTCGGTGTTGAGGGACGGTATTTGCTGTCACAGCCTTGAGCCGATGCTGGTTTGTCTGCCATTAACCGTTTGTGCTCCCGGCTCCGAGTCCATAACGGAGGCCCAGTGCTTCCCAAGACCTTTGAAGCATGGTGCGGAAGAGACAAAGCGAATGCTCTTTGGCATTGCTTATGCAAAATATTGCAAAACAAAGTCATGGTGAAGATGCAGGACGAGTTGAGATGTTCCAGCTCGGCCGAAGTCACAAAAGCGCTGAAGATTTTCAGAAGCGTTGAGGGAGGCAAAGAAGTCGGCAGAAGTAGTGAACTTCACGATCTTTCACGTTCACAAACAACGCGCTACAACAACATTGCAGTCTGAAGCATTTCAATTTCGGGAACCAGGAGGCCCTTGCCAGGTTGACTGAGGATGATCACGGGTACAGGAGGCGCTGAAGCTCTCAGGTGATCCAGCAACTTCTACACAGAGCCCCACAGGCTGATTCGCTTGATGAGTTCCGTGCAACTCTAACAGAGCTCCAGTAGAAAGTATTTCAATATTTTCAAGGACTTGCACGACAGACAGACATCTCAGATTTCCAAAACCTCAACATGCAGTTTGCCTCTCCAAGAGCTGCCAATGTACAGGAAATCCACATTATTGCCTTACTATAGCACGAGAGCAAAAGGAGGCGGCAACAAGCTCCATACTTCTTTATACATGTGCTGATGTGCTGCTGCAAGGACTTGGCACCTCAGGACAGAACCAAACTGAGTGCAGCGATTGCTACACCAGCGAAGCTGGCGCAGCCTGCATCAGGCCATGCCATGTGGAAGCATGGGGTCCAAGACCTGTGTCCGTGTTGAAGATGAAGCGTGCAATCTTGAAAGGCCCCGCAGCTTCTGCAGCGTCCTCTGCATGCCCTGGACCAGTTGACTGCAGTATCATCACTGTTCTTGCGAAAGACTACAGAGGCTGGGCAGAGTACAGTTTCATGGATGGGGTTGCGGGACATGCTGCTGCGTGATGTGTGTCTTTAGAGCATCACAGACTGAGGCTTAAAGGAACAGCCCTCGCCGGCAAAGTTCAAGGGCGGCCTGGCCCAAGTCTACGTGCGCAGTGCCCCGCTTCCTGCTTGCATTCAGTTTTGATCCACGTCAACCACTCCCCCACGTGTCGTTGGTCGCGTTGGGGACAGGGTTGGCGCAGAGCCATCTGGATCTGGAAAACGCGAAGTGATGTGAGAGCCCAGGTATGGAGGATCAGACAAGAGCTCTAACGGACATCGCTATGATTCAATCACTTTCGCAAATGGGATGATGGAATCGGGCATGAGCTGCCGCTTGGCCTCCAAGATTTGAAAGCCAATAACTTGCGCCGAGCAGTTGTTCACCGCGCTATGCTTGGAACTTCTTATGTCCTGCATGACATCGATACTCGCAGGTTCTTGTTAAAAAGTAGCTGCCGGCCCAGAGTTCTGAGAATTGCTCCCTTTGGAAATGCCGACGCATTAATTCAGGAACGCGTGGTTTCTATGCCTTGGAAGCATTTCCGAGCCTAAAGTCATCTAAAATCGTTCTGTGCAATCACAAGACAATGGACCTATATTGCCACCAGCAACCACGCCATATCCGGTCATATCATTCGCCTCTTCTTTTCCCATGAAGCAGTGGAGCTATCGGCAAATTCGCGGCTCAAGAACTTGAGCTAAGATGAATTCAAAGCGAAGGCCAGGAACTTGTACCAAGCCCTTGCAGCATGAAGCGTTAACCACCAACAGTGAGCATTCTGACTTCTAGATCAGATGTCAAACCTTTGGCTCTGCCGGTAGCTCTGCGTTTGGCATGAAGAACATGATGTGGCAATGCATACCCAAGGTCAGTTAATACACTACGTGCATCAAGAGCACGACAAGTTCTTCGAGTTGTGTACAAAGCTTGACTTCATCATTGTGAGGTGCAATCCAGGGCAGATCAAGGTGGGAAGTCAACCTTGTCAATGTGCACATTGCAGGAACTGGTGTTTCCAGCATGCGAGGCGGATGGGGGGGACCAACAAAAGTTTGATGACGGGATGAGAACCTTGAGGACCTCTCAAGAACGTGTGAACGCGCAGATGCAAGTATGCCGTTAGCAGTGACATTGGAAGTTGTCCAGGAAGCGGGGCATTCAGATCTGGTAGGTGACTGAGCAAGGCGTCTCCCCCTCCAAGCAACTCCAAGTTCCCACTTGGACGGGCCCTTTTGTCTTCCTCCGCTATGCTTAGGCCGTCGCCTGATGTCATGGAGAAGATGGGGGCCAAGGACTCCCAGTGCGGTTCGCGACTAGGTTGCCGGATTTGTGCTGGATGATGTCAGAAGTTCGTCAAGATTTGCTCAACTACCTTTGTGGACGCTGAATGTTTGCGATACGCTAGTTGAACATTCTTTTGCCTGCCCCGCAGGATGCACTGTGCAAGGTGGCGAACATGAGTATTGGCTTGCCTGACACGCTAGCGTACTACACCGAGCAGGAATTTGCTCAAGGCTTCAAGAAGACTATGGCTTTTCAACCACGTGTTATCAAGCAGAACCGCGGGTCCTCGGGTGAGGGCATTTGGATAATCAAGCTCGCTGACGGCAACTACTGCAAGGAGTACGGTGAGCGATCCTGCGACGATGGCGAGGTGCTGAAGCTGATGGAGGCTAACGACAATCACGAAGAAACGCACACCGTGGCGGAATTCATTGAGTTCTGTGTGAACGGCCGCAGTGCATCGTCTGGCAGTTGGGCTTCAAAAGGAGCTGGAAAGTATTTGGAGGGGGGCAAGGAAGCTGGGGGACAGCTTGTTGATCAGAGATTCTGCCCGCGCATAGTGGAAGGCCTTTCTGGTCTCGCGCTGCGCTGTGCACATGAGCTGTTTATTGAATTGCAAGAGCTGTGTGCAATCAATTCGACACCCTGCAGGTGAACTTCGCTACAACTTGATCGCCGACAGCCTTGTCGGAATCATTCACAAAAAGCCCAAAGCAGGAGGCATTTCTGCAGTGGGAGGCACAGGTTCTGTGTACACATATTTTGGACCAGATGAAGCGCAGTACCTGGGATTAACGCGCAACTTCCTTGAAAAAGATCTGCCTTTGGTCATGCCAGCCTTGGGGCTACCCGATGAACCCATCCCACTTTGGTGGACAACCGACTTCATCAACTCATCTCCCGAGGGCACGGCACCGGAGAAGGAGAAATGGATTGTTGGCGAATTCAACTGCTCCTGTGTCGGCATATCTCGCTGCCTCGCTGCCTACTGCAAGGACGACACGCCGAACGCGAGCTATGACGACATCTCTGCTGAAGACAAGGCTGAAGCGGACAAGTATGGAAAGCTGATGGGCGAAAAGGCATTAGCCATTCTAAGCAAGAGATGACCAGCGGCTTCATGATTTTAGATGCCCTCGGTTGTGGACGCTCAAGTTGCTGGTGCAGCCCAAGACGGGATGCTCTGGGGTGGGTTCCTCTGACCGAAAACCTCGACGGTACATAAGTGTGCCAAAGGCCGGTTCTTGTGCTGCATGCTGCTCAGGAATCTGTAGCTATCCCTCGCTTTGGGGAAGTTGGAGGATTGAGTAGAGTAAATAAGTTCTGCTTCCCTCGACTCAGAGGAAGTTGATGCTTTGGTCAAGCTGTTCTTGCCATTTGGCTCAGGGTCGAATGCCAGGTTCATCTCTTCGCACTTCGCCAGTGGTCTTTAGAATTGGACTGTGACCAGCCGTTGTGCTGAGATGAGTGGAGCCCAGGCTTTAAGTTTGAGGCAACACCGTGGCCAAGCGCTTTGCGGTACAACGGTGCGAATGGCACTTGGCTGGGCCGATGCGCAACTGTCAGGCTGCAGGGGCGGGTACGCGAAGACTTGATGACCAAAGGACGAGGCGGTACTTGACACGATCCAGGAAGCTGTCAGATCTAGAAGTAATATTGAAGCTTGGCCCAGATCCTTCATGTTCAGAGGTGCAACAGGCGCTTCAGGGCTTGTGCCTGGAGTGGAGCATCAAGCCTGCTCGTGTCACGAAGTTGCTGCAAAGCGCACAAACGTGTGGTGTGGTCCAAGGCATCCTGGGATGCATGCGCAACAACCAGATTGAAGTGAACGTTTGGCATTCCAATGCGGCTGCAGGATCCTTCCTGGACATGAGGAGCTGGCAAAGGGCCGCCCACCTGTGTGCAATGATGCCTAGTGCCGCCCTCATGCCAGACGTTACAACTGCTGCGGTATTGACGAGGGCCTTCATGGAAAGTGGCAAGTGGATTTCATCTCTCACGCATCTCCGAGACATGACAACTATGCGAGCAGACATCAGCAGGCACACAAAGTCCTTCTTAGCTCCCTGCGCGGCCAGAAATAGCTGGCGGCTATCCTTTTGGTTCCTTCGAAGCTCTGCAACGCTGCAGTTGCAGCTAGACTCGGTCAGCATAGTAGAGGTCATCAGTGCTTGCAAAGCAGGCACCCTCTGGACACAGGCTCTTCAACTCCCTCTGACGCTGTCGATTACAGCCATGAACTCTTACCTCGATGTTGTTTCAGCCGGAAGCAGATGGAGAGACATTTTGGACATGCTGATTGGAATGAACCGCCTGCGTCTTGAGTTCGATCAGATTTCCGCAAACACCGCCCTCAACGGTGTGCAGCGGAATCAGCAATGGCAGGTGTCTCTGTCATGTCTCACAGATTTCGTGGAGCAATCGCTCCAGGAGGACATTGTAACGCATGGCTCAGCGGTTCCGCTGGCCGCAGGGACATGGCGGAAGTGCCTTGCGTACACGTCTGGGATGCTCTTTCAGGGAACAGCGGTGACCCTCTTGATTTGGAACTCTGTCCTGAACGCTGTATCGGTAGAGGCACGGTGGTTGCAAGCCGCTGAGCTGTTAGGTCAACTGTCACGAAGGTCGGAGCAATGCGACCAGATCAGCTTCACTGCTGGCATCTCCGCGGCGCATTTAGCGCTCCAGTGGCAAACTTGCACTGCCCTGGCGGCTAAGATGTCCCATGGCTCGATCAAGCATGATGCAAGAAGCTGTTCCTCGCTGAGCCGTGCCTGTATTTCATGGCAGGGAGCCTGCACAATGCTGCGAAAGATATGCAGAGAAGTCCGGGCCGACACCATCATGCAAAACTCGTATTTGGACATGTTCACCGAGTCGGACTGGGCATGGGCATTGGACATGTCCAACGGTATGCAAAACTCTGGGACAGCTATGGATGAAGTCAGCTGTGGGACGTTGATCAGCACCTGCCAGACGTGGCAAAGCTGGCCGTGGGCAGTGCAACTTCTTGGGAAGGTGAGGCTACTGAAGCTATTGCTGGACACTACGAGTCTCAAAGCCGCAAAAAGAACCACATAGACTTGGAAGCAACATATGATCTTGGCTAGGGTCTCGAGGTTGGCTCGGCCATCCCAGCAGTTCAGTTTCTAATGCCTTCTTGAGGTTGCAACTCTGCCATCAGTTCATGTACCCACGCGCAGCGCTGGAGCGATTCATTGCTCTTGCTCCGCCAGATGCATCCAAAAGCAGTGCTTCCTGACGATGTAAGCTTCAATGCGGCAATGGAGGCAGGGTTCGGCGAACAGATGATTCCTCTGACACCTGCATAAACAGGATCTGTGATCTGTGCACGCAGATGAGGGGCAGTAGATAGCATCTGTTGAGATCTTCTGAGACAGCCTAAACACAAACTTGAAGTTTCATGCAGAAAGGACTTTGTAGCGCTGTGTCTCCAAAGTCACAGTGCAGTGGCTGCTGTGCGCTGTGCTATAGACTTTCAGGCTTCGCATGAACTGGTTGAACAAAAGACATCAGCAATACTTCTGGTTGTATGACGTGCGGCATGCCGCGAACTACAAGTCCAGGCCTGCAACGGTGACCGGTGGGCAAGAGCTTTTCTCCTGTTCTCCGAGCTTGCACATCGCAGACTGGAGCAGGAGCTTTGTCGCCTAACAATACTGCCGGAATGTGAGCAGCGCGGCATCCAGGCAGTCGAAGTGCCTGGACTATGGCTTGGGGTTGCCGCTGCTTTTTCCTACTCTGGTAATTTTTGTTGTTGTCTTGTGTTGGAATCGTGGCTTGCTCAGGCTGAAATCATCGACCTCCTTTGCACAGAAGTGTGTGGCACGCCTTCCTTCTTGCAGGGCAGTTCTTGAGCAAGCAGAAAAAGGCTTGTCTGGGAAGTCAAACACCTGGGCGACTGCAGGGCTGGTGAGCCTTTGCAGGAAAAACTACACTATCGTACACAAACCAGATACAGGTCCATGCTAATTATGGAGACGCAGTTTTAAACAAAGTCTTTGTAAATTGTCGGCATCCTCAGAGTGGAGTCGTTGAGTTTTGAGACGTCTACGTTCTCTTCCCCCGTCCTCCAGTGCCCCAACTCCAAAGTGTGCCCACCCCGGACTGTCCCTGCAATGCCCAACTGATAGTGTCCCCTACAGCGCCTGCTTGAGTAGTGCTTTACTTGGGGATATTTTTAGTCTGTTAGTCCCACAATGTAAAGTAAGATTTCATCCTCGTGGTATGGTATTTTCAGAAGAATCTTATCTTGCTTGGTTCAGTTGATTGAAGAAAAGCGTTGCTCAATTGACCGGAATTGGTTGAGTTTTGCTTTTGGGTTTTTCATTACCGCTTGGTGCTCAGCACAAACATCCTGGCATTACTCATATGGGGAGAGCATCAACAGCGTTAGCTTGACAGACAATCCCCAAAATACGCAGGGAGTGTTGTTGTTGGCAATGTTGGCAAAAGATTTTCCATGGGGATTCGGCTAGTCATGTCTGATCTTAGCGAATGTATTCCTGCGCTAGGTGATGCGATAGACAGAGTTAGCACAAGATTTTCCCTAGGGAGGGGTGTATCAAGCCTTGATCTAAGAAACAATGACTTTAACCGCTAGCGGGAGGACAGCGGGGGGCGGGACGGAGCAGTCAGTGTTAACGGAGTGAGCAGCATTTTCAGGATTGATGGGAGGGCTGACGGACTGTGGAGGGAGGGGAGTGGCGGGGAGGGGCAGGACGCAACATGCAGCCAAAACAGGCCCCCCAATGAAGGTGGGCAAACCAGCCTTGGTTCCTTGGTCCATAATATACTATAATATACCAGAATGTATGAT